ACAAGCAGATTATATTTAATGAAATGGTACAGTGCAACCAAAGCTCTATCAGGCAAGATTCAAACTAAAACTGATCTTACATCAAACCCATTGCATAGATGAACTGCAGATGAAAGGCCAAATTCAGGTTGCCAGACAAAATATAGGACACTCGTTAGAATTTGAATTCAACATTCTATAGAACATACTTAGAATCGTAGTTTATTTGAAATTCACATTTGACTGGGCAATCTGTATCTTTATTAGCTAAATTCAGCAACATGAGCCAAAAGAAAACTAAGATAATATATTTTTAATTGCCATTATACCTCCCTGCAYCAATGGAAAGCAGATGAAAAGAATTCATAATTCTCTATTTTATTTTAAAGATTTTTATTACTTATAAAATGGCAGAGATCCCTAAACGATGGTAAGGCAGGTGAAGAAAATGGGCTTGCTGGTAGAAAGGGCTGTGATGAGCATTTAAAAGTTCACATATCAGAAAACCTGATGTGACAGCAATTCCTGCTACTTGAATAATTTAAGATYCAACTAAAAAAAGAAATGTTATAAACTACATACACAAACCAGCCTTAACTGATAGTCACCTGGCTTGCCCATTAACCTACTAGCTTTGCATTTCCAAGAAAAAAGAAAATGTTGGGTAGACACTTAACTCCCTGACCACTTCTAAGAACTACCATTGATTTCTACATGAAACTAACTTTTCCAAGTGTCAGCTTCATTTGATATCTCATAAGCAAGGCAAATATCTGATTCCTAACTAACATTTTTTTTTTAAATTTCAGTGACAGATATTTTCAAAAAGAAGCACACTGTTGTAACTATTACTGCAAAATTCCTTTCATTTGATACAGATTGCTTTTAGGAGATAAGATARCTAATCCCTTCTGAAACATTTAAAACATGTCACTTTCCACCATTTCCAGTGGGTGCAATTGACCCAAAGGAGAAATTATTGTTTGAGAAAATCTGCTCAAACAGTCTAAATATTTAACCAATATTTTCTTTAAGAAAACACAAGCACAATTAGGCCAGGTCCAAATACTGAAGTTAAATTAGGGATCTGGCAATTACTGATGATTCTGGGTTCTGGAGAGAACCATTCTGAAAAATGTCAGAAAAAAATGACCTGTCTTTTTCTAAGTTGTTTTATCTGCATTGCCCAGAATTTTGTGGCACTGAGTGCCCGACCTTTAAGGTTTAGCTGACTTGGGAGTTTGAAACACAGTAGTTTGCAAGAGTCCTTCTAGAAGAAATGGTGAGACTTTACTTCTATTTGTTACTGCATACTTTTTGGATTGTTATGCTAAATCTKAGCTGGCACATTATTAACCTTTTCAAATTAGGCATTTAGTAGACTCAGCTGAATATTTTCTTAATTTGACATTGGGTTTGCTGGAACAGCTGGCATTGAAATATTAGTTGAGATCTTTGATTTACATAGTCCAAGTGCAAACATAAATTTTGCTTTTGAAGAGGATAGCCTGCCTAGACTATAGCAAATTTTATTAATACGAATTGCAACAATAAGAGCTAAAACTGCACATTACTATGTCCCTAGCACTTTTTATTTGCAGGTGTGTTCATATATTTAACCTTCCATATCTTATGAAGTCTTATTTCCCCTAATTTTGTAAATGTAAAAATTAAAGATTCGTTAAGATATTTGCCCTAAATTACACAATTAATAAGTAGTAAAGCTTAGTTTTGTACCCAAGCAACCTAGCTGCAGAATATGATGCTTCTGTAAATGTGAACAATGAAGAACTTCCATCATCTCAGAGCAGGGTTCCTATGAAGGAGGTGACCTGTCTTTGACTGTAACCACAAATTTCAGGGGAATAGTGGTTAACTGGGCTAAAAGAATGAAAACAACTCTTTTCTACCACCCATAACAAACCAAAGGCAACTTTCTGTTCCTTTAAATGTGTATGCATTTTTTGTTTAATATATTTTTGAAAAGGTTACTGAACTGATACATATCAGGACTGGTAGTATGCACAGAGCCATAACCCTGTAGGGAGAGAGGTTTCTTCAAGGATATGGACATTCTAAGTATTAGTTACCTGGAGAAGAGCTATCTGACATATTTAGAATCCACAAAAGATCCCTTGCTGAGTGGCAGACTGGAAATCTACTGTGCTGTTCTTTACAAGTGATCAATAAGTATGCCTAGAGTGTTTGGCAATGGTGTGGAATGTACTCTTCCCAGAGGGAGACCAGGGCCAGACTTCTGTGAGGGCAGGAAAAGTAGGATCATAGGATTTGTACCTCTCTTACCTATTAGGTGTTTCTCTTTAATTATCCTTGAGTATTTAAAAAATAATTGAAAGTTCCAGTATATCTCAGTGAAGGAGTTTTTTTAAAAAACTTGGGACATAGAATATTAAAGGGGAACAATGGTGGTGGGACTGAAGGAAGATAAACTACAAGTGAGMAGGAAAAGTCTAAAGATGAAAGTTACCCAATGACAGGCCATCTTCCCTTCCTGCCTGGTTCTGGGGCCAAACATTGGAGGTTCCAGATTGTATTTTAATTTAAAAGCAGTTCTCCTATATACCTTATACTGGCATAATATAAGAGGTGTTTTTTTTTTAAAATAGTTTTTAAGCAGTGCTTGTGTCCTACCATAATAAGGACTGAAGAGAGAACTGAAATTAATCCAAGGTATTTTTGTTCCTACTATTTAAAATACAGGTGGGTAAATGTAGAGATCTACCTGGGCTGGATTGTTGACAAGGCACAGGTTATCTTCAAATGTCCATTATAAATCCTGGAGGAAATGCTATATATATATTGAGAGGATTTATTAGGATAATAATAGGCTCTTGCCCAACCCTTTTCCTGGCTCAAGAAGGTATCATTTTGAGGATTGTACAAAAAATTGTTAAATCCTCTAAAGCTGGAGGAAAAAAGGTAGAAAACAGAAAAGAAACAACGGCCTGGGGGAAGTTCTTATTAGAAGTGAGCCGGGGGAGCTCTAGGATAGGTGTGGAAACATGCCTGCTACTCTGGGGAACCCTTTCCCCCTTGCCTCTTTGCAACACATCAGGTTTTTTTTTTTTTCTCCTAGAAAAATAATATTTTAGATTCTGAAAACATCTTACTTTTGAATGCAAAGAATTTCAGGAGGTATTTACAACGATCTTTGTATTATTTTCCTGACAATATATTGCAAGTAACTCTTTAACAATGAACTGAAACCTAAAGAGATTTTTTCAGAGGCACAAGCTTCAGAGGTAAGAACAAAGCTTCCATTAGTTCCATGGCTCTCTGGGATAGGTCCATAGAGACCAAATAGGGGAAAGAGGCAGGGTGCCTTCCTGACTCCCAGGAGCCCAGGAACTATCCTGATCTTATTGGCTCTGATCCCTACAGATGTAGGTGGGGGCATGGATGGGGCTGCTCTGCCAGTCCCTGGCCCACCAGCCCCCTCTCTGGGGGCAGTGGATGAAGACAATATTCCTTCTCTCATAATAATGAGGTAAACCGTAAGACTGGATTAAAAAAAAAAGAAAATCTTGAGCTTAGGAAAATAATGCTACAATCAACTGCTTGCTAGGATTAATTCCGGTTTTGTCAATTGCCTGGGCTGTTCAAAATATAAAAATATAAAATAAATAAAGCGGCAGCTACAAATCAAATTAGCAAACAAGCCCATCTACAGSCTCGCTTAAGGTTTTCTGAGCCTCCTGAAAAGATTTTAAGGTAAAAGTAAAGATGCATTCCATTTCATTTCCTAAACATCTCTTGGTTTGAAGACTGTGGAATTACCATGCGAGGCCATCCAAGAGCTGCCGACCAATGACAGATTACACCTTCCAGATCCACTCTTTCATCCYAGCCTAAGGCAGCACAAGCCAAAGAGCCCTGAGTGTTCTGGAACCGTCAGCAGATGAGTCTCCAAACCGTGCAAACGCCAAAACAGACGTTCAGCAAGTAGAGAAAACACCRCACTGTACCTCAACTTTGGAAACTTTTTCTTAAATCTGTCTTTTGTAAGCTGCCAGGGAACCAGTAGTTTCTTTTCGAGGGACAGTAACGACTCAGGGCCACAATTACAGGAACCTTAAGGAACTCAGAGGGGAGAAGCTGGATACCCAACTCTAGACTCAGTATTGTCTAGCCCTCTCTCCAGCCCCTACCAAGACGAACTCTGTCTGCCTGCTCCACTCTCCCTAGAACCCCCCGCCTGAGGTCGTGGCTGCGGGTAGTCCTAAGACCTGAGAGGCGCGCGCGTGGGGACTTGGCCCGGAGCCTGTGTGAGGAGTGGGAATGGGGAAATGGGTGGAATTGGGGTGAGGGGAATGCTAGCTTTAATCAACATTCTAGTTTCTTCCAAAAGGTACATTTTTGAAAGGCTCCCGGACACAAGAAAGACCTGCAAAAAAAACCCTGATGTGAAGTCGCGAGCTTGACCCCAGCCGGGTCCACCCTCCCTAGGACCTCTTGAGCCATATCGTACCTAAGTATAACTAAAAAGGGACCTTGGAGACCCCGAGATCGCCAACCTGGAACGAAAACCAGCCCCACTTGGGCAGGCAGTCACCTCCTAAACCTTTCGAGATGCGACTACCCGAAACCCCACTCCTTCCCCTGCTTTTGAATCCCTCCCCAGGCCGAACCGCGACCAGAAGTCTGATCCGGACTCTGGCGGGTGCGCTCAGGGACCAAGGCGAAGAACGCAAAGGAGGAGTAGACAGTATAGCCCTAGGGGGTTTCAAATGTGCTGTGCCAGCCAGCCACCTGTTCCACAAAGCAGAGTTTGTGCGGGCTCGGGCTGCAGTAGGAAGGCTTTTTCATCCTTTCCTCCCGCACCGCTCAAGACTGCCAAATCTAAGTGCGCACACACCTGCGCGCAGCCCCGGAGGTTCGCACCAGTCAGGATCCCGCAAGCCGCGACTTACTTCCCAGTCTCCCGGCTTCAGGTGGAGCCCCAGCTACGTCCGCGGGGGCCACACCGAGCCTGGCCCCTCCTTGAGGTCTGCGCTAAGTACCTGCTGTGAAGATGCACAGAGCGAGGAGAGTCTTGCAGACCATGGTATCCCGGTGCTCAGTGCCGAGCCTGGTGCCGGCGGGAGGAGTTTGCTGGGGCCGACCGAGCGCTCCGAGCGCGGGAGACTCCCTCTCTGACCAGCGGGCTGCGGTAGGAGCTGGGAAGTGCAGACGCGTTTGGCTGGGGCAGCCCAGGTGGCAGGCGGCGGGGCGAGCAAAGCTGCGCGGCTCAGTCAGCTGCGTGCCCTCGGGCTTCCAGCGCACTTCTGCTCCATCCTAGCAGCTAGAGGCCGGGCCGCCTCCGCCGCCAAACCCCTCCCACCAGGGCCCCAAGGCGTTGACAGGGCCTCCCCCCCCCCCGCTGGCTTTCCCCCTCGCAGCTCTCAGGCCCCAGGAGCTACGGCCCAGGGCGGCCTCTGCTGGACAGTCAAGTCAGTATGGGAGACCCTAGGTTTTTTTTTTTTTTAATTAATTTTTTAAAATTTTTATATATGACAGCAGAATGCATTACAACTCTTATTACACATACAGAGCACAATTTTTTCATATCTCTGGTTGTATACAAAGTATATTCACACCAATTCGTGTCTTTATACATGTACTTTGGATTATGTTGTCCATCATAGACCCTTGGTTTAAGTGGATTCTAAATGCTTAGAGCGCCTTGCACTATGTTAAGGGGGATGCAAAGTGTGAGCAGATCTCTGTCTTCAAGAATCCATCTCAGCTTTTCTTACATGAGCTTACAGTCTTTAAAGAGATGAACCAGCACATTTCTTTCCAACTATGAAGAAACTGATCCTCGTCCCTCCAGATATTCTTGAGTGTATGTTAAATCTTCACCCACATTCAAGTCCACTGCACTTCCTCCTCTCRGAGGTAGGGTGTCTTTCGCTTCCTATTTAGCTTCCTATCTATCAGAAGAAATAATACTGTCAGAATATCCATCATGAGATAAGTGAGCAAGGTGCTATTGAARGTGTTGTATCTCCTTTTAAAACAACAAGGCATGAAAATGATTACCACTCCATTTTACAGATGAGAAAACAGWTKCTGAGAAGAAAAATAAYRTGCTCAAGATTACATAGCTGGTAAGAATAGTTTGTGCACCAGGCCCATAATAACAAAAGCCGGCATTTCCTGAAAGATTGCTGTGGGCTAGGCACTGGACAAGCAGCTGTACAGGTCTTAATCAAGTCATTTATTCCCCTTGACAATCCCTGGAGATGGGCGCTGATGTATAGTCATCTTCAGGGATGGAAGTGGCAGCACAGAGAGGTTTAAATGAAGGTTTAAGACTTGCCCAAGATCACACAACTAGTAAAGGTAATAATAAGTCACCCAAGTAGGCACCCTGGCTCATCTTCTGTACTCTGCTGCCTCTCCAAAGCCCACAGCTTTTCTGAAGAACAGATCAAAACTGGCCTTTCACTTTATTCCCTGCCCCCCCCTTTCTTATGACTTACACTTACTTAGTTCTTACCCCTCAAATCAGATTTCAGATCCTCCTGCTACCTGTGTTTATGAGTCTGACAGTCCCCTAGTCACCAGAACTGGGAGCTCCAGGAGTTAGTTGAGGAACCTTCCTAAATAAGTGGATTTCCTGGTACCATTAGCAGCTCTGGAGAACACCTTTAATCTGTGACTTCTTTCTCRTACACAGGGCTCTTTCCTCACTCTCTAGGGTATCATCACTTTTTTCTGTGGCAAGGTCAATTTTCTGTCTGATCCCACCATTGSCCCTCACAGATCTTGCTTTCACTTCCACAATGAGTATATACTGGGCTCATATTTTTCTGTTGAAATGAGAACCAAAAGATACCACAAACAAATGCCYATCCCCCTTACCTCCTCCCTGGTGGTAGAAACTGCAAATTCAATTTGTTAAACATGTTCTTTGAATCATTTTTGACCTCAATGTCCTTCTGGTTTCTAGTGTAATCTAAGTGATTATGAAGAATTTCTGCATCTGGGTTTTGGTTGTCATGGAGGCAGGGACCACACACACAGATGGAGCTTTGCAGGGAYATTCTATGAGGCACTGGTGCCTTCAAATGGGGGTGATTTAAGTAAGTGAATAAAGGTTTCAAAGACCAAGTCACAGAAAAGTTTATTTAATTGAAATTCAACAAAACGCAAAATTTTAATGGGGTCCCCCTGGAGTGGCAAGCACATGTGACTCTATCAAAGATAATGGTTTGATATTTAAAGGATAGTGATCCCTATGTATTAATCAGTTAAAATTTCCAAGACTTTTGATTGTACACAGAATCAAGTTGAAATAATTTCTTTAATTAAAATCATTCATTTTAATTGCTGATTAAAACTTTTTAATCTATTAATTTAATCAAAGCACATTTAATCACTTTAGTATATGCCAGACTTTATGATATACCGTGGAAATGTAATGGTTACAAAATCCAGGGTAGGCTAGATTATGCTACTGAAATAAGTCAACCCAAAGTCTCTGAGGCTTAAGCAATAGCAGTTTGTTTCTTGCTTATCAAAGTCTACTATGGATCCAGTTTACTTCCCAGAGTAGCTGTCCTGTATGTGAGGACTCAGTGTTATATCATTAGATCAAACACTACTTCCACATTCAGTGAGGTGGGAGAAGAGAGAAGTGAAGAATAAAGAGTAGCATTTGAAAATAGAACCAGACATGACACTTCTGTATGTATTTCATTGACTAAAGTAAGTCAATGGCCATGCCCAACTTTGAGAAGGCAAGGAAGCACAATCTCCTTCTGGTTCCTACTAGAGAGAAGAAATGGATAGCAAGGAAGAACTGTGATGTGTGCCACAGTGTTTAATTTCTTCTGCCATCAGGAAACTCATTCTAGTGGAGAGTCAAATATTGAATGAATAGTCACAAAACTATGTGCAGCAAAATTATGTTAAATGCTGTAAACAATAATATCCATCAATATTTACTGAGCTTCTACCATGTGTTAGGAATTATTCTAAGCATTATATATATATATATATATATATATATATATTCATCTATTTAAATTTTACACTTTTTATGATAGATAGTATAAGCAGAATATGTCATCTATGCTACTTTTGTAAAGGGAATTTAAATTTATGAAGGAAACCTRTATTTGTATAGRTGTTGTTATGATTTGGGTATGAGGYRTCCCCCCAAAGCCCCTGTTAATTCAGGAATATTCAGAGGTGAAATCATTAGAGTATAAGAGCTGTAACCTAATCAGTTCAGCCTAGTTTGGGTGGTAACTGTAGGAGGGCGGGACAGAGYTGGAGAAGGTGGGTTACTGGCAGCATGCCCTGAAAGGAAAGGATGCATCTTCCCTGTGCCCACACTGTTTCATGACCCTGCCATATGAGCTAAGCATCTTTTCTCTAGTGGTTCCTTTCCACATGTTGTGTTGCTTCACTCTGGGCTCAGAGCAATGGAGTTGGCCATTTATGGACTGAGACYTCTGAAACCATGAGCCTCAAATAAACTTTTCCTCCTCTAGGCTATTTCTGTCAGGTATTTTGGTCACAACAATGAAAAAACTGAGTGAAACAATTATCTTCTTACTATTGGGAAGAGAAGGATGAGTCTAATGTGCTGGAGACTCTTATCAGTAGAGAAGGCACCCACTCAAATCTGAATAGCAAATCTTATACTTCTTTATGAAGCCTCCCCTTGTCACTTGCTCACAGCTGCTATAGCCCAGCATCATTATTTTCTTGTTTCAGCTGCAGATGGTATTGAAGCTTAAATTCAAAGCCTCTTCTTTGAGAATTTCTCATTTTATGGGGATCTTCCATATATATGTGAACATACGTGTTCATAAACTTGTTTATTTTCTCTTGTTAATATGCCCTTCATTATAGGGAGTGCCAACTAAGAACTTAAAAAGATAGAAAATACTATCCTAATTTTAAAATAAAGAAACTGAGAAAATGCAGAGCATTTAACTATGAAGGAAAACAAAGGATGCTATGAGATGTAACAGCGGAGGACCATTAGATGCTCAGTGGGATTCAGAATGGAATATGCATGTTTCCCTTTAATGCCTTATAGCAAAAGCCAGTTTCCTCTTAGAATTCGCTTGCTTTTCCTTTTCCTTCTTTCTTTCTTTTTTAAAAATAATACTCCCCTGGGATAAAATCTAAGAGAAATCTGTATTTTTCTGACTTTCACTCTTTTTTGATCATGGTTAAAATGAATTTTTAGTATTGTGGGCTTTCAACATCTTACAAAACAAAAGCCCTTGGCTGGCTTAGTTTTTGACATCCTGAATTTATTGTAATATATATATATATATATATATATATATATATATATATATATATGATGTTAGATAATATGCATTAGGTGATATTGAAGTGTTATTTCTGAACTCTTGGTTTCATCATGGCTAAGAGGGAATAACTTGGTTAATAGGGCTGGAAAGGCAGTGTGTGCAGTGGTTAGAGGAGGGGGTCAGAATTCCCTTTTGTTGTCTACTAACCGAGTGACTAATTAATTGCTTGGCATTTCTATGCCTCAGATTCTGTTAGTCTGACAGGGCTGCTATAACAGAATACCACACACCAAGTGGTTTCAATGACAGAAATTTATTTTTCAAATTTTGGTAGATTGACTGTCTTAGACCAAAGTGATGGAAAGGTTGGTTTCTGGTGAGTCCTCTCTCCTCTGCTCACAGAGGGCAGACTTCTTGCTCCCTAGTCATGTGACCTTCTGTCTTGCTCACTCAAGGTATCTCTTTTCTTATAAGGACACCTAATCCTATTGGATTAGGTGTCCTTAGAAGAAATATTTCTGACTTCCCTTAAGCTTAGTTAGCTCCTTAAAAACCCTGTTTCCAAATGTAGTCACAGTGGGGATTAGGGCTTCAACATATGAATTTAGAGTGGTGGGATGCATTTAATCCATAAAATTCCACCCTCTGTCCCTTCAAATCCATGTCCTTTCACATGCAAAATGCTTTCAACCCATCTCAGAAGACCCAAAGTCTTCTAACAACCCATTCCAACAACAACTCTAAGTCCTAATCAAACTATCATTCTAAAACAGGTACAGGTGACACTTGAGAGATGATTCATTCTGAGGCAAAATTTCTTTCTAGCTGTTAAACTCTGAAAGCAACAAGTTCCATGCTTCCAAAATACAGTAGTGGAAAAGCATAGTATAGTTTCCTCCCAACATTAGTAGGTGGATTGAATACATACATAAAAGGCTCAGCATAYTCTAAGTGCCTATAAATGTCAGCCATTATTAGAGAAGAAACTTAGAGATATATTTTGGGGTCCAAACTACAAGGAAA